CGCGCCATTTCCCGGCGTCCCCCGGGGCGCGCCCAGGGCCGGGCCCGAGGCCAGGCGCTCCCAGGAGACTCGGCCTGGCGGCGAGGGGGTTGCATCCGCGGTCGCAGCCTGGCTCGCTGCTCAGGTGGGAGACTAAGGTGGGCAAGCCACGGGCTAACGGTGAAGCCGCCGGCTGGCCTGTGCCTGCCCGGAGCCACAAGGCTTCCGTTAGTATTTGGTGAACCCTCTCCGCCCGAATGCTGCCGGGCCTTTCGCCTGTGCTCTGTGGACCGTCTGCCGTTCGTGCCGAGCCGGGGAACCTCAGACCCTTGCACCTTTTGTGCCCCAGTCTCCACGTCTGCAAAAGGGGCTGTTGTGAAGACTAACTGATGACCATGATGTCTTGAATGTTAACTCTCTCTTTCCGGTTCAGGAAGCACAGACAGAGCAGGGCGACCAAGTCCCCTTGGGTCGCAAGGCAGTGTGCTAAATAAAGTATACGAGGTTAGAGCAAAGCTTGTGTCATTTCAAAATTAAATGGGAAAATCAGTTAAGAATGGCGGCCTTGTATTAATGGCAACACCTGGTTGTGACACTTTTGGTGGAAGCCAGCAATATACAAGGGATTTCCATTACTTTTTACATCTGCACGTGAATCTGGAATAAGCCCCGTACGTTTCCATGGTCTTGTACCAGCCCCTATCGGAACCCAGATCACTTTTGCCACGTGGCTTTTTGAGAATGCAGCTTTTGTCTGTGGCTGGGTTAACAAATCCTCTCCTTAGGTAAGCATTAGCCCATAACCTACTTGGGAACATCCAAGACTAGCAGGTGAGAGGAGTGACCAAGAATGGCAATGTCTGGGCACCTGACCAGGCTTAGAGGCCTTCCTGGGGCCACGGGGTGGTGCTGGGGATGCAAAGGATGGATGATCTGGGTGGCCCTGTTCTAGCACAAGAGGCTTCGGGGAGCTGGGAGCCAAGTCTTGTCCACCAGAAGCACCCAGGGCAGAGGAATTGGGTCTGGCCAAGCAGCCCCAGTTCCCACAGGTCCTCAGAGAAGGCTGTTTGAGGGCAGGGCTGCTGCCGAGGATGGCCCAATCGGAGACCGGAGGGTGGGCAGGAACTCTGGCCTCTCACCTTCAGATTTTACCATCGAACGGAGGTAGGGAGAGTTAGGGATGGAAGGAAGGCAGTGGGAAATGTCTGGTCTGGAAGCTGCAGGTGATTTTTCCGGATGCTAGGCCTTTGGGTGTAGGTAGGAGACCACACCCTCAGGTGGAGTGTGCCCTGCCTTGCCAGGATCTTGGGGGACAAGCGATGGGCATTCAGAACCGAGGATTCGTTGGCCTCCCACAAAAAGAGCCTTCGCCTGCATCTGCGCGGCTTCTTCCCCTCGAGGAGGCCGTCTGGGAGCATGTCCAGTGGCTACTGGCTAGTGTAGGGGAAGGGGCTGGGTCAGCGGCTCGGCGTGCGTTGTACTTCTTTATTCCCAAGACAGAACAGACTGTGGACTGGGCAGAGCAGCTCACAAACAGGCAGGAGGTGGGGGTGGGGCAGTTTGCAAGTACAGGTTCGTGAAGACTTTCCCAGACCCTTGGCTTGATCGGTAACAAGTTAGACAAGATGTCTGGTGGGCCTCTTCCTTGACAGCTCTATTGGCAGCTGTTCCAGGCCAGGTTTACATCTGAGGCCTGACTGATTCTTGTGATGAAGCGTTGGGTCCCACGAGGATCCCCCAATGTCATGGATTGAATTGTGTCCACGATTCGCAACTGGGCCATGATCCGCAGTGGTTTTGGCAGTTATGTAACGATGTAACCATCCCCCAGAATGTGATCAAGCCAATCAGTTGTCAGGTTGGCTGTAACTTAACCCAGGTTACTGTCAAGACACAACGTTAGAGGGATTGCACTGGGGGTTGGGATGGTGGCGCATCACCTTTTACCTCGCAAGAGATAAGAAGCAAGAAGAGAAGGAAGTACCAGGAAGATAGAAGAGCTGGGAGCAGAGTCTGCCTTTGGATCTGGGTTCTCCGTGCTGAGAACCGCCTAGACCCAGGGGAAGATCGATGCTAAGGCACTTGGAGATCTCCAAGGGATGCTGAGGGGGACAAAGACCTTCCTCCAGAGCCAGTTGAGAGAAAGCCCTCCACTGGGCCTGTTTCTGGTTCAGTTAACTGAGCTGATCTCCATTTCCAAGTCCAGCCGGGGATGTTTCAGCCCTGCCTGTGCAGATGCAGAAGGGAGATACTTCACTCTGTGATGAGTGAAGACAGGTGGTGACTGGTGGCATGCTGCCACAAGCCAAGGAATGCTTAGGACCTCCAGAAACGAGAAGACGTGAAACTTTCAGAGTATGACCCTGCTGGACTTCTAGCCTCCAGAAAGTGTAAGAGGATAGATTTTTGCTGTTGTTTTCAGCCCTTCCTCTTGTGGTGAGTTGTTACAGCAAAACTAGGAAAGTGAACAGAAAGGCTCACAATAAATGGACTTGATGGCCACTCCACCCAATAAGGGCAGAATACACACTTCCCCGATGTGCACAGAGCACTGGCAAAGACAGACATCTTCTGGGCTCGAACGCAATTCTTAATAAATCACGAAGGACTCAAGCCATACGGAGTATGTTCTTAGATGACAATGCAGTTCAACCAGAAATCCGTCCTAGAGCGAGCCTTGGAAACTTCCCAAATATTTGGAAAAGGAACGTCTGGACCAAAGAAGAAATTAAATAATCGTTCGAAAGTATTTTGAATGAATACTGCGTAAAAACACATCCGATTTTGTGACGTGTCTCTAAAGGAGACATCTAAGAGAGATTTTACAGTGCCAAGTGACTCTTAGATTTTAAAGTCCCAATGACCTCACTTTCCACCTTAAGAAACTCGAAAAAGAGCAAATTAAAACAGAAGAAAACAGAAGAAAGGAAACGACAGATCAATGCAGAAGCCAACAAAATAAAAAATAATCATTTTTTAAAAAAAGAAGCCAACAAAATAGGAAAAGAGAAATTCAATAAAACCAAAACCTCATTCTCGAGATCAACAAAACTGGTAAACCTCTAGCTCTACTGATCAGGAAAGAGAGGAGCCAGACCATTACCAGAGTGGTCGGCATCCCTGCAGACGCTACAGGTGATGTAAGGGTACTGTAAGGGAAGATCAGGAACAACTCCGTGCTAGTAGATTCAACAACCAGATAAAATGGAGAACTGCACCCAAAGATACACTACCAAAGACATTTAACAAGAAATCCATCATCTGAATGATTCTCTATCAAAGAAATGAAGCCACTTACCCTTCCCTTAAGGCCAATTCTAGATCCAGATCACTTCTCTGATAGAATCTAACAAATACTGATGAACAAAACATTATCAAGACATGATACATAAACTAGGGATAATTAATAAAATAATATGAACAGTACAAAAATGCTTCTAAAAAATTCAGGAGGGGAGGTACTTTGTGGCTTATTGAGGCCTGTACTATCCCTCATAAACTTAAATACAAAAATTCTAAACAAAAATTTTAGTAAATGATCTATTAAAAGAACAATGGAGCATGACCAAATGGGGTTTCTCTCAGGAATTCAGGGTAGGCTTAATATTTTTTTAAAAACAGTAAGTCATCTTCTTAACACACTAAAAAAGAAAAACCTAA